TTGATGCAGTTTTTTAAAAGAAAATTTGAAAAAAAAACATTTATATGTAACTAAATGTAATATACAATTTATTTTATATGTTTGATTAAATAAGTTACTTAAAATAAATCAATTGCAATTGAATACATATTTACAGTTTACGTCTAGTTAACTCAGACGGTATATTTTGGCTTGAACAGCATTCTTTAGAATCAAACAAAGCTACATTGTCGTTTTCACAGGTACCCTGAAGGTCACCTAAGACCTGGGTACCCATGTTTTCTGTAATAATAACAGGGTACCCATGTTTTCTGTAATAATAACAACGCAATTGGCTAGAGCAATTTTTATTGGTTTCTGATTGACTAATAATTGTTGTGTATAGGACATTGCTTCAAAAGACTTTATATGAATCGGTGAATGTTAAAATGGCGGAAGTGCAACGATGTAAACTTTTGGGAAACTAAAAAAAACAGCACTGCTTCCTCAGTAAATTTTTGTTAATGGTTTAACAATTTTTTTTTGAAGGGAATAATGTTTTTCATCTTAATAGCAAAAATATTTTTTTTTATATTTATTTTTAAAGAAACAATAAACCAATTAACACTGTGGACTTCAGCCCTTTTAACATTGAACAAATAGTTACTGCTTATTTTATTATGATTTTAATTTTGAGCTATAGAAAATAGTGTCACAAACTGCAATAAATCTTTACAAAGTGTATATTTGTGAATTGTTTATACATTTTAAGAAAAATTATAAGGAAAAAAAGGTCTATTACAGAAATTTTATCGACTATGCTTAATCATTTTCCCCAGCATCTTCTGCTTCTCCATCGTTGCTATCTATGTAGGCCACTGCAGTAGTTCATTATAAAAGTCAATATGATCATGTGGAATATACTTTCTTAAGTCATTCAATTTAGCAGACTTTATTGGAACTTTTCCGTTTGGGTAAAAAAGCTGTTCTGGCAGATTCACTTTGTTTTGAGTATTTTTACTCATCATAAAAGTATGTTTGACAATGCAATTGATAATTTCACCGGCTTTACATTGACCTATGTTGTCACATTCGTATCAAAAACGGTGAAAAATGCTTATTGCAAACTGAGTTTGTTGGTTTTTTGGTTTACCCAATGTTTCAATTGAGGTAACGTTTCTTTTAAAGTGGACTGGCCACCAACTTTTAACACCGTAAACTAAAGATGAACTCTCTACATTAACCACTAAAAACTTGTATTGATTACTACTTTTTAATATATTTTTTTAAATTTCTTATACGCTGTACACTCTGTCATGCCTTCTTAACTCTTTTTTTATAATTGAAAAGTCACGGTCACAGGGCAAAAAGCTGTGTCCTCTGATTGGAAAAAATTGATTGATCTTTTTAATCCACTTATTATCAGTAAGCGCCATAAAAAGGTTTGAAAAGCAATGGTTTTTATTTTGCATCCCACATTTATTGGCATAAAAGTTGAGTTCATCATATGTAAGGTAGACAGGTAGTGCAATAGAAAGGAGCAATAATCAACGCAATAAAATCAATAATAAACGCAATAAATCAACTTTATTTACCACGCTGTTGCACAATCAAAACGACAAAATAAGTTTACGTTTGGTCCGCTGTCAGTGTCTAAAGGTTTTGGTTTTTTGTTAAAAGGGCTGAAGTCCGGACTTCAGCCCTTTTAACAAAAAACCAAAACCTTTAGACACTGTACAGGCTAGAGAAAATTTTTGACTTACACCTTTTTAACACAAAATAATGGAGCTATCTTTTGAATATACAAATTTGCAAAAAAGTCAATTTTTCAAAATATGTAACTTCCGCCTTTTTAACACTCATCGATTCATATATTAACAGTGACATTTCTTTTTATCTTCAATGTTAGAACTAATTAGAAAATGTTAGAACTAGTTTTAAACCAAGAATTACCAAGAATTTACCAAGAAAAAAACCAAGAATTTACTTTGGTAAAGATTACAAAAGGTTTTTTAAATTAATTTGTGTACTACCACTAAATATTCTGCTTGAAAAAAAGTAACGATTTAACTTTGAATTTTTCTACACATAGTAAAACATTTCAGTAGGTAGGTCATGGTTGTCAACAAAGTAGTTTCCCAAAAGTACTTCTTGATAAAATTTTCAAAATTTTTCTTTCTTTGGACAATTGTGATCTGTCTGAAATGTTTTTTCTACGTGCAGAAAAATATACATAAGCAACATTACATAGCAACTAAATAAGTATGTAGCCCACTACATACTTATGTAGTAGCTATGAAAAAACAAAATAAACCACTACATGGCTACTAATATTAAACATATAATACAATATATTTTTATAAAATATTTGACGTTACTGTTAGTGATGTAAAAACAAAAATTGCAAAACTAAAAAAATTTGAATTAAATACATTATTTAATTTAAGCAATATCAAGTCAGAAGTTATGCGCGTTAAGTTAATTTGTAGGATATAACTACTACATAGAACTTAGGATATAACTATTACATAGAACGCTCAATAGCTTTTAAATAGCCCAATATATAGATACTATATAGCCCGTGGGGTACCCGCCTACTACATAGTTTTTATACAAAAGCTACAGCATAACCTGTTGTATACCTACTACATAATATTTTATATGGCTACTACATAACTACTATGGCCCATTCATAACTACTTTATAGCAATTATTTAAGCATGTAGTCCGCTGCATACCTATATATAAAATGTAATAATACATTATGTGTATAACAAATTTAAGCTAAATATATAACGCTAACTTTAATCATGTGAAAATGTTGCAAAAGCGAAAAAAAACAATTTAAATAGAAAAATTAATATTTTTTGATAAATTCAAAATTTGTACACGTTTTTGATGTCAAGTAAGTTGTAATGGCGTTTTTTTTTTAATTTTAAAAACATTTTTTTTTATCACCAAAACGACAATAAATCTTTAATAATTTTTATTTATTAGTTACAGCAGTAAATAATATTAATTAATTTTAAATAATAAATACTTTGTAATTTTTTTATTTGCTTAGATCACTTAGATTTATAAAGAAAGTTAACATATTATTATTTTATGCAGCATAGTTTTCGAATTTATCTCGGAAAACGAAAATGTCTACAGACAGATAACCGCTGCGCTCTTAAATAATACGAGTAAAATAACCTGCGCAATCGCAGTAAGAATTAATGGATGCTTCAAACTAAAACTAATTAGTTTATATTCTTTCTAGAACATAAATGCTACATAGCTCGCTATATAGCTACTATCTAACCCGATACAACATCCTTTAACATAACCTATTATATAGCTACTATAAAGCACACTCATAGCTACTATATGGCTACTACATAGCCTGTGTCCTAGAACATAGCTACTACATAAGTAGGTATGTTCAGTTTCATCAATTACTTAATTTTAACAATATCAAGTCAAAAATTATCCGCGCTAATTTATTTAGGGTAGCCCGCGCAATCGCGAGGAAGAATAAGTCAATGTTTTACTTTAACTGTAATTATTTTTTATTTACAATACTACTACTACATACCCGCTTTATAGCTTTTAATTATCTCGATATATAGTTACTAGATAATCCGCGAGGTACCCACCCATTACATAGCTAACAAATGCTGCAACAAAACCTTTGATATACCTATTACATAGTTACATACCTATTTTTAAAATATAATAATACAATTTGTGTTAAACAAATCTAAATAAAATATATTTTAGTGTTGTAAAAACAAAAGTTGCAAAGGAAATTGTTTAGTATATTGCAAGAATTATTCCTTTTATTGAAGAGTTAGTTGCAACAGTTGTACAACATAGAACTTTTGTATCTATATATTGTATCTATTTGTAACTATAGATGTTTGAATTGAAGTAGGTGGAAAGCTAGGTTGGAGAGATTGGGGTAGGTGGAGAGCAAGGTTATCTAATTGTTATCTTTTCAACTACTTTCAAGCCAGAGTTCCACTTAAGTGAAAAAAAAAAAATTTATTTGATAGTATGTAAAGTTTCTAAGGATTTGTATAAAAAATTTTTTGAGAACACTAATTACGTGTTTCTATTGGTAAGTAGTTACCAGTCTGCAACAAACTTTACCATAGTGTTTAATAAAGGCCATATGAAATGCATATTTATCAAGACGAGCACACTAATATTGAAGGTATATATACAGAAAACTTTGAGAAACTTTAGCAATGTGTTTTTAAATGAATATTTTGGGAAAACATTGAATTCAAACTCCTATGACATTAAAAGATTTTTACCAATTTTCAGAGATCACGGTTCAAACATTACTCTTATAGTTCATATAGTGAAGCAGCATGAAGAAGAATTTATTGGTTTAGAAGGAGTAAAGTTTGTATATTTAAAACAAAATAAAATTTTAACTGTACTTAAAAAAATATGATTTATATATATATATATATATATATATATATATATATATATATATATATATATATGTGTGTGTGTGTGTGTGTGTGTGTGTGTGTGTGTGTGTGTGTGTGTGTGTGTGTGTGTGTGTGTGTGTGTGTGTGTGTGTGTGTGAGTAGAAATTAGTAGAAAATCACTTATCAAACTATTTTCATTTAACACTGCGTTTCATCATAGAGACTCATCATATTTATTACTCTGTTTTTATTAAGAACATTGAGCACTCTATTTTGTAAAATGCATTTAAAAACTATTTGTATATATATATATATATACATATATATATGTATATATATATATATATATATATATATATATATATATATATATATATATATATATATATATATATATATATATATATATATATATATATATATATATATATATATATATAGATAGATAGATATATATATATTAAATTAATAATAAAATAAATACAATTAGATTTGAAACATAACTCAGAGTTTCACGCTTTATGCGATCATCAGACGTTACAAACAACCGTAACAACAACAAAAATTATATACCATAATATAAAATCATATATAAATTATATATAAAATTATATA